TTTGCTGCAGAATCTCAAGGTTTTTACAGTTTTCTTTAAAAGATAGTTAAGCCGCGAGCGTGAAGAAAGAGCGACTCTTTTCTCAGTCTAAACAATCACTGCAAGAAACAAGTAGCTTTAATTTAAAGTTAAAGCTGAGGCGCAGAATCCTCTTGGCCAAAGTACATTTAGGTAGTAAATTTATAGGAAACGGTTCTTCTGGAGAAGAGAAGCGATCGACCACCAGCGCTGCTTGATATATTGAAGATTTTCCATAGCCAGTTGGTAACGAAACGGAGACATCGTTAACGTCGAAAAATATATCTATGGCTTTCTTCGGTTCTTCTTGAATTGTCTCTATCCCAAAACTTGTCGCTGTTGTCTGATAACCTGACCGTGAAAGCATTTTGTTCACCATCATGTTCGTTAGTGTGAAAATAAATTACCAACTCTAGCCAATCAGAATTAACGAAGGAATAGGCAAAAGGGGTTAACCAATAAAAAGTCATGGTATATTTTCTTGCAAAAGAGTGACGTCACGGAACACGATTAGTGTCAGGTTTGCGTGGACGTTCCCTCGCTTCCGTTTCACCTTCGGGGGGGGGGGGGGGGGGTACAGCTACACATAGGCTACCTTACGTGGTGCAAAATCAGTGGATAGTTTGCAGGCAATAACCCCCGTCTACGTCAATATTTTCCTCTACATACTTCCGTCGTAAAAAAAAAAAGCCAGCGCCCTCTTTCCCTAACTTTTCATTTTTTCGACGCCCTGCCTCTGCCGTTAGTATCCAGAAAAAATAACCAATTATTAAAAATGATAATCAACTTTTCAAGGAAGTTATTTCAAAATTGATATGAGGGAACATGAATTTCTACTTTTGTATTACCTTAGATTAAGAAGAAAGAATGTTTTCACGCGTGCAAAAACATATATACACAACATAGATGCCACAATAGACTTAGTTAAGCTTCTTATTATAATGGTCAAAGCCGATACTATGAAGAAAATTGCTGGAGTTCTGAAACTTTTCCGCGTTCAACAGCTCACACATATGCCTTCTGCCTTATGAAACCGAAGCGAAATTTACTGAATAACATTCTTGGTAACTAATACATCGAAAAAACACCCCATAGGCTCGGAGACCATAAAACTATCCAGAATAGAAGAATTTAGTCGCTTTGCAGGATCTTTGACAAAATATGCATGTCGTTCTCCTCGTTTGTCATCTCGATTGAAGTGTTTAGCGCCGAGGAAAGCGTCAGTACTCAGTGGTAATGACAGTAGAAAGGTAACAAGTAATTTACTACTCTCCATCTTCCAGCGGCAGAAAGAAAATTGCTTATGTTAAACGAAACAATCACAGGAACACACTTTCAATGTGTTGCATCCGCTGTACCATTTCAAATTTGCAATTTACCATCAAACTACTGAAATAATTCTTTACCGTTAAGACATAAAAAGTACCGCACGCAAAAACAGGCATCAAATCCATAACGCACCGCACACCAAAACAGGTACGAAAGCATTAGTTATTGTTAATTAGTTGCTCTTGAATGAAACTTAAATTTTATTTAAACGGTTTATTTATGAGAAACTATATTAATTTACATAAGGTCTTTGTTGAGGATAAAACTGAACTCTGACATTTAGACATAGTTT